CCACCGGCATTATGGGGGGCCCATGTGAATAACTTTAGAAGCCACAAACTACCACACCTACAAAAATGGTTCCCATGTGATAACATTAGAAAGCCACACTGCCCACCTCAAAATTGTTCCCATGAGATAACTTTAGAAAGCCACTACTACCCACCTACAAAATTCCAACACCGGTCTAAGTACTTATAAGATGGTACTGTTAAGAGTTTCTGGGATGCACTTTGCCACTTTTTATTTTGCATCAAGTAACTGGGAAAATACCTTTCTCAAAAGAATTACCTTGATGTTGGTAAAGGTCTCATGATCCAAGGAAACGACTTTCTTTCCTTTTTTTCTGGATCGATATGAAAATCTGGGTTCCCCAGGCGCTATAATGGACCATACGGTCTAGCACTTTTTTCCCAAAGAAAAAAAAATTCTGAATGTCATATTTTGAGACATAAAACTTCTTTGTGATTTAAGATTGTTAACTGATGAAAATTTAGTTGGATATTGTGGAATAACTGAAGATGCGCTTCTGATCGGCTTCAAACTTTTAGTGCTGGGGTGGTTTTACCTCAAAGGAAACTCCCTTATTTTAGGCTGTCAAAATTTTTCGGCACATTTTACTAAAAATTTATTTCCATGAAATAACTCTAGATGCAAGTTAAATTAACATAAAACATATTTTTATTAACCCTCAACTTATATGAATCTTAAATACTGGTCATTCTTAAATGAAAAAAGTCTGGATTGATTCATCCCCCTGGGTAGGTCTACAAGTTTGCCTTTTTGGTAAGTGATAAGAGTTTGACGACACACTCTTAAATCTGACTAAGTTCATCTCAAGTACTGAATTTTATCAGGACACACTAGAGAAATTCTCTGCAAACACTTAAGCTTTCTCCATATCTTGACACCATTTACGTCAAACCACAACGTTTTCAGGGGGAAACACACCCACGCTCTCAAGTAGTACGATCTAATACCTTCGCCCCCTGTTACATGTTTTAGCTCCGATAATTATACGTAAATGTAACGTAAATAAAATACGTTTAACTAACCCCAACCTAACCTACTTCAAAATCGATAATAACAAATGCAAACTTCCGTTTGTATTTTTGTCGAACGCCAATTGGAGCGTACTGATGACGAAGTTCTTCTTGGTAGTACATTCATGGCATAAACCTTGCGTTCATGTACCTTCCTTGTGTCTGTATTGATATTACTTTTCGTTTTTTGGTAAATTAATATTAGGTTATATGTCTCCGCATATATGTGTGTGTTGTGGGGGGGGAACGGAAGGGATGTGGGAACGGTGATATGTCCTGAATAGTTGGGTGACACCCGGTGCTGGTGTTTCTCTTTGTGACTCGTACTTTACGTTAATTTATTTAACCCAAAGATGAAATACAAAATACTAAAAATTGTAAACTTTATGACGAGTTGGGCGTTCACATGTGTTTTATATGAATAATAAAAATACAATATCGCGGATGGATCAATTACAAATTGATTCACTTTAGACGACGTTTTGTTTACGTGTCCTGATAATAGCCCATGATAGTACCGAAACGATTGTAAATTGTCTTATTTACAACCCTATCGACTACATGGGTCATTAAGGATCAATGTAACCTACCCACCCCACAAGTCAAGAATACATTAACACCCTAAAATAGGAATACATTTAATGCACAGCGTAATACAATAACAGACATACATCTCTCGGTGGATTTAATCTTGAACCACTATGGACTAAAGATTCCTCGCGACGCCCTGTAATTGTGAGGTGTCATACAAGTTTCCTCTCCATTCACAATTCTATATATAAAGTTTGGTTAATCCTGCAGCGTCTATGATAATAGGTAAGAACTTTCTCATTAATTCTGCTACTTAATACACTGTGATATGTCTCTTGATTGTGTAGTGAGTTTCAACCATGGTTGCCAACGATTAGTTAGATGAGAAGCAATTAATACAAGAAAACTGAGGTCGTGGATCACTGACCGTAAAGAGGTAGGTAGGTAGTGGCGGGAGTGAGGGCAGGTACTGACTAATTCAACCAAATAAGAAAACAACAAGCGAATACCTAAGTCTAATCACTTCCCCTTCGAGAAGAAATACAGCACAGGCCTCATTTATTTTGGTGGCACAGGCATCTGTAAGTGCACTCCACATGTCACCGTCAAGCACTATGGTAATACAAATCCGAGTGGCCATGTTAGGCATGCCGGCACGATGTGGACCTGTCATGCACCCCATAACAACGATACCCTCCAGCCAACACCTATTATTCTAATTTTCACCACATATCATCAGTTTCGGTTCCATAGATCATCGTCCTTGCGCCGCTCGGTCGACTAGGCCTCCTATAAACGAAATGAAGGAAATATTACCTAGAAAAAATTTAAGAAATACAGGACAGTAAAACAAAGCATAAGAAAATGCAAACTTATGTTTCTAAGAACTGACATGCCATGTTAAATGTTAATATATAAAGGAAACATCAGCAAGCCTCAGAGTGCAGAATATTTAATAAGCTTCCGTTTGACACTTTTATTACTAGATGAAGTATCATTCTGGATGACTGCTAGCAGTCTACCATCATTCACGTGGTAGCGTGGAGAAAACTGGGGACGCAACAAGGCGTCCTCGTTTGATCCGGAGAAGTGGAAGGTAGTTCCAATTCTCGAAAATGATCCCAATACTGGGCATCAACGCACCTTTCCCTGAATGAAGTGCATCATGGCAGAGGTGAAGTAGCACCGGTGTTAGCCGTACGCAATCATAACACTCAGGGTGACGATCTGTATACACGTTATAGTTGTAGTCATTATTCGTACCGTGGAGTTGATGACCTGTCCACAAGTGACCAATAGTAATGACTCGCACAATATTTAGACGACAAAGTCGCACATGAATAGCTATGATTATGAATAACATAACCATAACTGAAGGCCATTATCCATTGTATAAGAGGTTCAAATCCCCCTGGCACCAACCCTCTTTTACACAGCTGGAGCAGTCCATTGTGGCTGGCTAGTGGGTAAACAATATTCCCTAGCGAGCCATCTACACGTAAACTAATCTAGCGAGTCAACTATGGTAAACTTAGATTCTTAAGAGCGAGTCATCTAGGTAAACTAAGATTCCTAGCGATTCATCAGAACTAGTAGCTGGTTTGATTGCTGTGGTAAGCTATTTTGCTTACCTGCATAAACCAGAAAGCTATCGCCAGGTTAAGCAACTCTGGGTAAAGCAACCCCCAAATTCCTGACAGTCTGTCAACCATCCAACCAGTTAGAAGGCAGAAAACTATGCCCCCAGTCCAGTAAGTTACTGTGGTAGTCTAGCAGCAGCATCAACAACACTTTGGCACGTAAATGGCATAATAGTCTGACACAGGTCCCCTCAAGCTCCTCTCTAATTAGATGCCACTGTGAGTTCATTTCCCGAACTCATAGCTACGCTAACAGCTAACATAAAAACTGTATTAACGTATATTATTCCGCACTGACGGAGGCCAGCAGGTGACGTCTTGGGAAGAAGGGAAGGAAAGAGATGTAAAAGGTGGAAACAGGTTGTCAATATGATTTGGAGAGAGTGTGGGTGGAGACTGAGTGTGGGAGCTGATGGATAGGATGGAATGTGGAGAGGGGTGTAGAGAAAGAAGAACGGGTGGAGGAGTAGTACTGTGGAAAGTGCATGGAGTGGAAGAATGAATGAAAGGTATGGAAAGGGAAGAATGAAAAGGTAAGAGCTGATTTCCGCGAGGATGAGGTATGTATATCAATGGTATACTAATTCGACAAGATGAAATGCACACTGCAACATCTATGTATTCTTCACACTGTAGACGTGTCGCCCTACCAGTGGCTTTACCAATAAAATACATAGACATAATCTACTTGCTACTCCCCTGGCCTCAACTCTTGGGCAAGAAACTACTTCACTGGGGAATTTCGCCCTACCATGAAAATGCTTCCGTTTGCTCATCTGACTCCAGCATACAAGGGCCATTTAACCTGCCTGTGTTTATCAGATTCTTCAAGAATACGGTGCTTCAACAACTGCCTTCTATGCTGTAGGGACATAATTACCACATCTTCTGTATAATATGTTTAGACATCAATTATGTACATGTATTGTATTGATAAAGTCACTGGATGGTGAAAACTCTACAGCGTAATACCCAGATGTACACAAGTGTCCCTAATTAATCAGGATGAGGGGTAAAGAGGAGAGTATGTAGAGTGCTGTATGAGATAATCACTGAGGATGGAGTATAGACAGGTGTCAGTAGTGTTAACTTGTGTACTTGTGTAGTGAACTTAGATAATCCCAGCTACTTCATTGACAGGCCCCTTGCAGCTATGACGTCACGAAA